ACACCTAGATTTAACACATCCCTTTGGTCAGATCATTTTCAATCTCTTATAAGGGATTGATGGTTTTATACCAGGAACCTTTTCAGGATAGGAGCACCCTGCTTTCTGAACTCACTCGTGTTACTCAGCTGGTGCAATTTTCCTGTTATTGTGATTGAAAATAAAATAATAAATAGTAAAATACAACAGTTTTCCCATGTTAACAGACAAAAACTTCCTGACTGTAACAAAACATTTCCTTTGCAACGAATAGGTTGCACTCAGAATGCAAACAGTAAAGTTCCTCCTCAGTTTGGCATTCTTATAAGGAACATTTTCATCTCAAACAACGAGGCGAAGTCTTACTGCTGAATTCGCTGAACTGGCATCTGAAGTAAGTCCTCCAGCTTCTGGTTGTCAAACTGCGGTCGAGCCTCTTGGAGCGTCTTAAAGCGCCGGAAGGCTTTGTTTTTCTTTAGCTGGATCTGAGAAAACATGGCAGGAAGTGAGGTCATCCTCAGACGGAGGCAGATTTCATCTCTAATCATTCAAACTCATCCCAGAGCATTTCTCCTAAATGATTCATGAAGTTTGATCATTTCCCTGCAGCGCCTCTACGTGGGCTTTTTCACAGGATTAGATTACAAAACAATGGTTACAGAGGCAGACAGAGAATTGGATCAGTTGTTAGCAACGAGGCTAGCTCTGGGTTCGAAGTCACACAACTCACTGTGCGACTGCATTTTGCACCATTTATTTTGCATTAAACCTTTCCATATCAATGCCTTTTTGCACATTGACTTTAAACTGGTTTTTCATTTTCTCCTAAACTGCCTACATTCTGATCACTGCTGCACTTTATAACTGGAAATGTTCAGCGTTGAAAAGCTGCTTGCAGTAAAATAAAGTTCATCTAAGTCTAATTATTTATATTTATTATGCAGCTGGAAGACTCTAGAACCACCACTGTTCCCAACAACCTCAATCAGTTCTTCCATTCATGCTGATTTTGCAGTTTCTACCGTAGTCAGTTAAATAACCTGCTGCTGTCATTCTGCACATCTCTGATGTTGCTGCTATTTTCAAATATCCATTACTGTAAAAATGCCCATAGCTGGATATTGGTTATTTATTCTCCAGTTTTATATTGTTAAAACACTTTACAGGGTTTTATTGTTTATCTTTTAAATTGTCACTATTATGCTATTCTGATACATTTTTCTAAGGTCCATGTTTGTGTGACCTTTTTTTCTATCTTTTTGCTGCTGTAACATCAGCATTTCCCCATTGAGGGACATTAAAGGGATTTTCTATTCTATTCTGTTGGAGTTAGCATGTTCTCCCTGAGCATGCGTGAGTTCTTTCCGGGTACTCCGGTTTCCTCCCACAGTCCAAAATCATGACTGTTAAGTGGTTTCTCTGAAGCGTGCATGGATGCATGTCTTTGTTTGTCTGTGTTGCCCTGTGACAGACTGGCGACCTGTCCAGGGTGGACCCCGCCTCTCGCCGTAGACCGCCAAAGATAGGCGCCAGCACCACTATGAGAGGACTGAGCGGGAAAAGATGGACGGTTGGATGGATGGAAATATTAAGTCGTTCACATCAGCAACATGATTGCAGCAACTATTTCAGTTTGATATATCCAATAACTGATGGACGCAGTAATATTTCCGTATTGAATTCAGGTTGATTGGAATAACAGAAAATGTGCAACATGCATTAAAACAAACCCTAATTCAATACTGAAATATTACTGCGTCCATCAGTTATTAGATATATCAAACTGAAATAGTTGTTCCAAACACCCAAATATTTAAATAGGATTGAAAATATTTCGACTACAGTGAATAAATCCAAAGCTTTTGCACCAAATAGATAATTCATAAAGAGACATAAACAACCGTAGAACAATGGTTCTAAAATCTGGGCTTAGTGGGACATCTTAGCAGGCGCCTAACGTCAAACACCAGGGGTTATTTATTATTTGGCACTAAGATGATCCTCTTTTCTACTATAAGCTTCAGTGAAAAACAAGTTGAAGTTAATAAATTGTTAGCAACAGGTTGATAAGCAGACGGCGTGTCTCTACCCCCAGCACTTTGTTAGCATTGTAGATATTGTCCACATAGCTGTTGTAGTGATGCAACTGTGAGCAAAACGTTTCCAGGCCTTTCCCAATGTAGCCGTTTTCCAAATGGACCAGCAGCGATCTGCAAAAAGCAACAGCAAACAAAAGCAAGGTTTTATTTGAGAACGTTCTAACACTTAGCTTAGCTCTGGGTAAACTATCAGTCACATTACTGTCAACCCTTACTAAACTTTTGTTTAGCAACAGTTGACTACAAAGATGGCCGCCACACAGTCCATATGATTCAGTACAAAACATAAAAAGTTTTCATTTTCACACCTATCCAGAAGTCCTTGTCAATTCTCAGACTAGAACAATCTGCAGTTGGAGATCTGATGTTTCTAAACAACATGGAGATTCCAATAAAGTAAAAAAAAAAAAACAACCAGTGGACTTTGCTTTACAAGTTTGAAGACATTTTTCTTCCCATTCAGGAAACTTTCTCAATTTTTTTTTACTGAAAAAGCTTCCTGGATGGGAAGCGAAACGTCTTCAACCTTGGTCAGGCTATAGGCTTAGACTGCTGGAGGACATAGGGACCCCTATTTTATCATTCTGCTTCATTCTATCTCTATTCTCCCACTCTGCAGAATCTGTTAGTTCAATCTCTAACGTTCTGCTCTCTCTGCTTTTTCTCA